TGCAAAAGGAGCCATCCATTAGAACACAGGAAGCAACACGACCTTGGATTGCAAAAGCAGAGTCTAAAATCAGCATTTTAACCTTCCCTGCCTGGTCACTGTGTGAGCCTGGGAATGTCACAGCCTTGCTGGGCTCTGGATGCTGGGAAAATGGGAAACACCAGTCCTGGCACTCGTGGGGGATGTGGGAATCCCAAGGACAGTGAGAAGATCTGCAGTGGAAATTTGGGGAGAAGCCCCACTGCTTGCAGTTCTTCTTGTGAAAATACTTTCCTTTCTAAACATAACAAAACATTGAATTTATCACCACCTTGAAGTGCTTTACTTCTTATTTGTGGACTCCCACAGAAGTATTCCTAACAACAGTGCCTATTTGCTGTTTGAAAAAAACTCTGTTTTTTTGGGATTTTTTTTTAAACTTTTCAAAAAATATTTTTCAAAACCATGAAATTTTAAAAACACCAAGTTGTCACAGCACTCAGCCTTTCCCCCTACTACTCAGTTTTCAGTTCTATATTATAACAACATCTTTTAAATTTTCACTTTAAATAATAAAATCACACAAGAATGTCATAATAAAAAAGGATACATCTGTGCCAAGTCAAAGGCTCAACAAAATCCAAAATTCTCAAGGAAAATAACTTCATCTCACAGCAGATCTGAACTGAACCATCTTATAAGCAGCCCAGAAAGAAAACTGATGGGAAGTGAAGTAGTAAATAATATATATGAGCTACAAACATCAAAAGGCATAAAATCAAGTAGGAATGGTGGATTAGGTTAAAACAATAAATGCCCACAGGACACCAAGCAGGTCCCTCAGCTGCTCAGAGCTCAGTCTCCAGAAGAAATTCCAATTTCTGTCAGTGACACGTGAAACTCAACGTGCCAGAACCCTGCAGGAAGAGGCAACTGAGCAGCCAGACAGAGCTTCAGACCCAGCACCTCCCAGGAGAACAAAAAAGGAAATCAAGATCTCTTTTATTTTGGAAAAATCTTAATTTCAAACGCAGAGATGAGTCTGAGGCCAAATAAGCAAATACAAGGCTGCCTGGTATCTGATGAGAGAACTTCTGAGTCCTGTCAGAACACATCTGAGCACTGGTGCATCATATGGAAAAGTCTCCTCTGACCCACACAAATGGACTGAATCCCTGCAGATGAGATGTGATTGCTCAGGTTTCTGAGCAGAGTTGGTGATCTGGGTGTGCTACAGGCAAACCTGTCTGAGCCATGAGGGTCAGCAGCATCTCCTGACCCACCAGAACCAGCCCAGAGCCAAATTAAAGCAGGTGAGACAAAAAAATAATCAATTTGTTAAACAACAAATTACAAAAAAATATAAAATCATTCCATTATTTAACAATTTTGATTTCCAAGAAGAAAAAGAACAGCAATGCAGTGAGATGCATTCATAGCAAGCTAATGACCCAAACTGAGGCAGCCTTCCAGATTAATGAGCCTGATCCCTTCCTGTTAGAGACAAACCCATCACACACGGATGGGATCCTGAAGGATCCTTTCCCTTGCCCATTCCCAGGCTGTTTGTGAGCATTGCTCTGCATTATCAACAGTCAGCACTGGGGGGTTTCTTTATTTCCATCTCCACACCCAATGCCCCTGGATATTTCAGGTTTAAATTTAATGCAATGAAGTGTCTGTCCTGGAATTTGAGTAATTTTTAAGACAGACTTAATTATGGATTTGATGAGAATATGTTTAAGCCAGTACCAAAATACACAGAATCTCACAATCACTGAGGTTGGAAAAGACCTCCAAGACTGAGCCCAACCTTGTCACCAGCCCAGAGCACCGAGTGCCACATCCAGGAATTCCTTGGACACCTCCAGGGATGGGGAATCCAAACTTCTCTGAGCAAGCCCTGAGCACCCTTTCCATGAGGAAATTCCTCCTGGTGTCCAACCTGACCCTCCCCTGGCACAGTTTGATGCAGTTTCCTTTCCTCCTGCCCCTGTTCCCTGGGAGCAGAGCCTGACACCCCCAGGGTATCTCCTCCTATCAGAGAGTTGTGCAGAGTCACAAGGTTCCACCTGAGCCTCCTTTTCCACAGGCTGAGCTCCTTTCCAGCTCCCTCAGCTGCTCCAGCCCCTTCCCAGCTCCATTCCCTTTCCTGGACATGCTCCAGCCCCTCCATGTATGAATGGAGCGAGGGGCCCAGAGCTGGACAAAGCAACTCAAAGCAACCCTCAGTGTCCAGCTCAGGGCTGGTCCCAGCCTGGCCCTGCTGCCCACGCTGCTTTTGACACAAAGGACAATTGGGGGAGAAGCTGCAGGGCTGGGCTGGTTTCTTTCAGGAACCTGCAGGGTGGTTCAAAACAGGAAGTGTGAGATGGAGACAAACCCGGCACTGGCTCTGAGAACCCAGCTCCTGCCTCGGGATAGGAAGTGCAGCACAAGAGCTGCTCTAAGATCACCCCCAGTCACAGAAAATCCTCCACACTCTGCAGAGACAAAGGGGGCATTGAGGAGCTCCCAGGGGAAGCAATAATTAATGCAGGTGCTGGGCACACCCACCCTGGTGCAAAGGCTGCAGCCCCCAGGTCTCCTGACACAGCCCCCCTGCACCCAGGGAAAAATTCTCTGGTTTAGCTAAAGGAAAGGGTTGATTGGTTTTATTTACAAAAAGATTAAATTAAGATTTCTTTCTATATGTGGATAAGCCAGCAGATTCCTAGTAAATAAGTAAAGTTAAGATTTATATATATATGTGGATAAGCCATAGGTTTCTAGTAAATAAGTAAAGAGCTGGCAGTGCTCTAATGTCACAATAAAAGGCAGGGTTACAGGATTACCAGACAGTGATTCTGATACCCCCAGGAGCTTAAGGAACACAATTCACACAGGTTTATCACTGAGCCACAACACCCCTGAGGTGTGCAAGCATAGATAGGCTGCCTTGTGTGATAGGGAAAATTGCCTGCCAGCTCCATTGAGTGCAAAACCAAATTTCTACAGGGGTTCAAGTAAAATCCCAGAATCCCAGACTGGTTTGGGTTGGAGGGAGCTTAAAGCTCACCCAGTTCCAATCCCTACCATGGGCAGGGACACCATCCATTATTCCAAGCTCCATCCAATCTGCCCTTGGACACTTCCAGGGATGGGGCAACCTTCTCTGGGCAATCTGTGCCAGGGCCTCACTACCCTCCTAGGGAAGAATTCCTCCTATAAAAAGAAGAAAGTAACTTCCCGGAAGTTAATTTGGAATTTTTACCATACTTTTAAACATAACTCAGATTTAACAAAAGTTGTTCTCCCTTCTCCCACATCCTATCTTCTGCCAATTCAAGTGTTATCTACATTACACAGACATCTACATTACAGATGTAATAATAATGTATTATTACATTAGCATTTTAATTCATTTGAGTATGTGCATAATTAATTATTTGTATTGGAAGAACCTGCCCAGAACAAAACCAGCAAAAATTACAGAGAGAGAAAAGATACAGAGCTGATACAATAAACCAGGATAGTTTCAGATACAAGAGCAGCAGAACTACAGATGGTCAGGAGATATAACAGCCTTTCTAAAGACAAGATCTGTTTCCATACACTCCCAAACTGATCTGAGTGGGATGTGTGTCAGCCCAGAGCAGACACTGAGCGTCTCAGACACCTCAGCACAACTTTCCTTGGAAGTCTGGGACACCTACACCCAACCCGGGCCGTGGGACAAGTCCCAGCTCACCTGCGAAAATGACGAGGGAATGGATGAAGAGCACCGAGCCTTCCTCACTCCCCCAAAGCAGCCCTGTCCCTCCAGTGACACATTACCGACCCACGCCCTCCTCCCACCTTTCAGCCGGTGCATTTCTGTCAGCTTTCCTCCTTCCCAAGCTGGAGATCTCCGCGTTTCCTCCACACCGGAGATCTCCAGGATATCCCGGAGCTCTGCGTGCCCCGGGCTCGGGAGGGGCGCCGGGACCCGGACGCTCGGAGCCGGAGTTCTATCCCAGCCCTGCGAGTGTCCCATGCCGCGCTGCTGGAACCTGTCCT